ATCAAATGTTTTATTTTTCTGTGCCTCATGTGTTCCTTTGTTTGGAGTTTACACCTTAGTTTTAGAGGAGTATATCACCCAATATGAGGTAAAATTGATACTTTGCATATCTGGAAATTTCTATATTTTATCCTATTGTTTGATTGATTGGTTGGGTATCTCTTCAAGGTAGGAAACTAACCTCTAGCTTCCAATGTTACTTTGAGAAGCCAAATTTTATTTACAGTCTTCTGATTACAACTTTTTAATCTTTCCTAAAGATAAAGATTCTGTGAAATAGTAATGTGTTGATCCTCTGGTTTTCTTGTCTTTTCTACCTCATTGACCTTTTTTTATTTCCTTAATTTATCCTCCAATTTCTATTGAATGTTTTATTTCAACAATCAACAATTACATTTTTAACATTTTTCTTTGTCTTTCCTTTTTTTTCGGGGGGGGGGAGATTTTTGCTATAGGGTGCATGCACTTGCCAGAAAGACAGAGAGACAGAAAGTGAGAAATCACCCCCCAGGGGGGATGGCCACGCCGCAATCCCTTCTCCTCCATTCTTCTCTTGGGATCTTGGGCACGCACGCACACGTGCCCAGCATGAGTTTAAGCCATCAGGTCCAGGACTCGAACCGTGATCGACTACATGGGAGTCCAGCGACATAGCCATTATGCCAACTGCTGGCCCCTGTCTTGTCTTTTTTAGTTTGCCAGAGTGCATGTGCACTAGCCAGAGATAGAAGGAGAAAGCATTAACCATGAGGAATGGTCATGCTACAATCTCTTCTCCCTTTCTAAATCCTATCAAGATTTGGGGCATGCACGGGACCAACAGATAACGTAATGGCTATGTCGCTGGACTCCCACGTAGTCGACCATGGTTCGCATCCTGGACCCAGTGCCTTAAAACTCACGCTGGGCACATGTGCATGCATGCCCAAGATCCTGAGAGGAGAACGGAGGAGAAGGGATTGTGGCGTGGCCATCCCCCCTGGAGGGGGGGGTGATTTCTCGCTTTCTGTCTTTCTGTCTCTGTCTGGTGAGTGCACATGCCCTATAGCAAAAAAAAGGGGGGGGGGATTTGAGACATGCAGGCATACATGCCCAGTGTGGTATTTAAGCCAGCAAGTCTGGGGTTTAGACGTGGTGATCCATGCAGAATCTATATAGCTCCCTAACCACCAGGACACAAGTCTGGCCCATTCCCACCTCCGTATTTATAGCATTTTATGTTTTCTTTTAACTTGAAAGAAAGTGATTTTAATTTCTACACCTTCCATGGTTACTGGTTTCTCCCAAGTTCTCTGTTTGGGTCTGTCGTTTATGTTAGAAGCTTTCTTCAAAAACCTAATAACCTGGGAACCAGCAGTTAACATAATGGCTATGTCACTGGACTCCCATGTAGTCAACCACAGTTCGAGTCCTGGACCTGGCAGCTGCAATCCCTATTCTTCATTTCTCTCTCCTGTCATTATTTTGGGCATGCATCCCTATGGGCCTGGGCCCTGAGTTATTTATCAAGCCAGCTGACTCTGAAAATCAAACTACATGATGGCCATGGCAGTCCACCAAGCCATAGGCTGGCCCACCTTCCAGTTTTTATTTGGAGGATTCCTAACTGTCAGCATCTGTAAGTCTTTTCTTTTGGGCCATTTTGTTTATCTAGCAAAGTATCTTTTATTCTGCTTTTAGAGAGGTATGTCTGACCCCTGGAATTCTGGGAGCTAGATGGAAGGGAACAAGGGAACTTTCATCTAGTCATTTCTGGTTTTAGTCCCAAGCTGCCCTTCTACTATTTCTGGTGTCCAAAGTCCTGAGCCTTTCTGGTTCAGTTTCTTCAAATAATAAATGTCTCATCTCTAAATGTTGACATAGGTGTTTCTTTGATTTTTACCCCCTCCACTTTATTATTTTCTGTGAAAGCAGTAAGAAACTTAACTGCTTTTAGGCAAATTTTCAACCCTCCTCCCTGTTTTCCACCCTGTTCTCTATACTTTCTATAGCACCTGGTGCCTATGGGTCCTGACCTTTGGCTTCTTTTGTTTTGTTTGTTTGTTGTTTTTGGCTTTGTTCTTGCTATAGGATGCTTGTTGCACACCAAAGTGAAACAGAAGGAAAGTGAGCAATCATCCCCACCCTCCTCGCCCCCGTGGGGTTGGCCATGCCACAGTGCCTTCTCCATACTTGTCTGGGGATTTGGGGCATGCACACACACACCTGGAATGTTTTTCAAGCCGCCAGGTCTAGGATTTAAATTGCACAGTTAGCCTCATGGGATCCAGCGCCTTAACCACCATACCACCTGCTAGATTATATATTGCCTTCTTACTCATTACCACTGTGCATTGTGTCACCATTCCTGCATTCATTTTCTTGCCTTGTATTTTGTGATTCAGTTATAAATCTCTGCCAGTTTTATTGAAGATGAGGTTTGTGATTGTATCTTATTCCTTTTTGGGGGGGCTGTCCACTTAGAAATGAGGCAAAAAAGATTGTCATTCAGCCATTTTCATACTGGATAATTCTTTCTTTTATAATTAGATAAAAACATAAAGCTATTTTCATTTTGCAGGGAAATCAAGTTACATTACTTATTAAGAAATTTAGTAATGGAAAAAGAGAGTTGTAACCAAGGAAGCATTTTATAGATCAAAAGATTTTACAGGCACTTGGTTGTTTCTGAAGGCAACAAGAAGTATGTGAGAGAATTTGAAGGAGTGCCCTGGTAAAGATACGAATGTTGTCAAGAATACAGGTAGAGAATTTAGCTCTGATACAGGAATGAAGGAAGAAATGTCACAAGTTAGAGCAAGTCAGCGAGATTAAGGAACTTATATCCAGTGGAGAAAAATTGGTCTTACAGCTGATAAACTATTTTTAATACTTAGTTAACAAGTAAAATAAATGAACATTTTGAACCTTAATCAATGACTTTTTTTTTTTTCCCAATATTTTTGCCATAGCGTGTGTGTGCTTGCCGGAAGGAAACAGAGGGAAGGTGAAAAATCACCTGCCAGGGGAATGGCAACACTGCAGTCCCTTCTCCTCCATTGTCCTCTCAGGATTTTGGGCACACAAGCCGCTAGGCCCAGGACTCAAATCATAGAGTTGGCCATGTGGGATCCAGCACCTTAACCACCATACCACCTGCTGGCACTTTGTTTTTTGTTTTGTTTTGTTTTAATGATAACATGCATACATGCTTGCCTGGTAGAGAGGGCGAGGGAGAAGTACCTTAGGCAGGGTCTAATCATGTCACAGCCCATTTTCTCAGCCCTCTAGCTCCTCAGGTTCCTGTGCTTCCATATGCAACTAGCATGATTTCAGGTTAACCTGGAGATCCAAACCCACAGTCCCTGTATGGCTTCCAGCCTTGCAGAGCAGTTCTTTTACTGCTGTGCTACAGAAACTTGGCCAGTTAATGACTTCATATTCTTCAGCCTGTTTTATTGCTTCTGCTTGTTTTTTTTATTCAGTGGAATTTAGTCAACAGCCAAAGTGTACTATTGAATATAATTTTGGCTGTGCTAAGTGATGTTTCTTTCAAAATTAAATAAGAAACATTTTTCCTACAGATTTCGAATGATTATATACCAGTGAGCTCGCTAAATCAAAATAAATACAATCACATGCTACTCAATATTTAGAAATGGTGTACTTTATATGACAAGTCTGTATTATTCATTCACACTTTTAAGCACTTGCCAATCATATTTGCCAACACAGATGCTTGTTTCAGATCCTACTACTTTGGAAATGGATTTAAGTGTTTGTAGACATTTGTTTTTGACTGTTGGGATGTTTATTGTTCTCTGACATAATCCAGAACTTAATTATAATCACAATGTTGAGTGACTGATTTTCTCAGTCATAAAATTCAACTTTCATTTTTAAAATATTTAGAATTGTAGAGCCCCTTCCCCCCACTTCTTGGCTTAAGTTTTATTCCACTGAAGAATACTTAAGTAATTTCCATCTATGACTTACCATACCGTTAGTCGTCATGAAGCTCAGTGTTTTATACTATGAGGTCTAGTATGTCTAATATAGAAATTTGTTTGTTTTCAAATGGTCAAGAATGCAAGGGAATGTGTCTGTAAAAGTGCCTTTTTTTTTTAAGAGTTTTTTTTGCTATAAGGCTAATGCACTTACTGGAGAGACAGAGAAACAGAAAGCAATAAATCACCTGCCAGGGGGAATACCCATGCCACAATCCTCTTCTCCATTCTCCTCTCAAAATTCTAGGTGCACTCTCATACGTGCCAAGCATGAGTTTCAAGTCACCAGGTCTAGGACTCAAACTGCAGTCGACTACATGGGAGTCCACCTCATGTAGGAGTTGGACTCAACCCATTACACAATCTGCTGATCCCCAAAGGCCAAATTTTACTCAATTTCATATTTAAAAACTGCCCAGACCAATAGCAGACTTGACCAGTTGGAATGGATTGACTAAACTGCATTGGAAATGCTTGCTTGGCATTCCTATTATTAATGAAGATTGCTTAATATGTTCTTACATCTTTATAACTTAAAATTGTTTATATTAACAATCATTAGGAAAGGAAACAAGGTCATGGAAATGAAGGATCTATTACATACAGGGTGATGGTTCTCAAACACAGTAGCTCATGAGTTTGTGACTGTCTCTTACAAAGAATTCACTGTTATGAGGTAAGAAAAATAAGGTAAAGTAAAATGAGTGTAAATATGCTTTAAGATAGAAATTATACACATTATAGCTGAGAAAGGAGGCTTGGCTTCTTCTGATCCACACTGAAAATTAGCTGTGGGAAAGGAACCCAGACTTAACATTATGGCACAATGAATTTATTAATATATGTAGAGCAGCTTATTTAAATGGTAATAAAATACCTTGGTACTTCTTTCCAACAGAGTCACTATTCTTTCATGTGCTAATTATACTTTTTACTCTTGTATCTGATTGAGACTTGATATATAAACTGTACAAGGTAGATGACAAATGGCTAATGGCTTTTTTCAAAAAAAAGATACATTCAGAAGGTTCCAAGAAGAAACTTCCTGCCAGAAAAACTGGAAAAGCAGTATTTATAATACTGGAATTTGTGTCTAACTTGTTAAAATGGCAGAAAATAGTGAAAGTACTAGTAAAAATGTAGACGTAAGGCCCAAAACTAGTCGGAGTAGAAGTGCTGACAGAAAGGACGGTTATGTATGGAGTGGGAAAAAGCTGTCTTGGTCAAAAAAGAGTGAGAGTTGTCCAGATGCTGAAACAGTGAATGCTATAGAAAAAATTGAAGTTCCTTTAAGGAGTCAAGAAAGGAAGCACAGCTGTTCATCCATTGAACTGGACTTAGATCATTCCTGTGGGCATAGGTTTTTAGGCCGATCTCTTAAACAGAAACTACAAGATGCTGTGGGGCAGTGTTTTCCAATAAAGAATTGTAGCAGTCGGCACTCTTCAGGGCTTCCATCTAAAAGAAAAATTCATATCAGTGAACTCATGTTAGATAAGTGTCCTTTCCCACCTCGATCAGATTTAGCTTTTAGGTGGCATTTTATTAAAAGACACACAGCTCCCATAAATCCCAAATCAGATGAATGGGTAAACGCAGATTTGTCTCAGAGTGAATTGAGGGATGGTCAGCTAAAACGAAGAAATGTGGAAGAGGATATAAACTGTTTCTCACATACCAGTGTTCAGCCTTGTGTCATAACCACCAACGATGCTTCATGTAGAACTGGTCCTGTGACTGGCTCTGTGATGAACCTGATTTCAAATAACAGTATAGAAGATAGTGATATGGATTCAGATGATGAAATTATAACCCTTTGCACAAGTTCCAGAAAAAGAAATAAGCCCAAATGGGAAATGGATGATGAAATCCTGCAGCTGGAAACACCTCCTAAATACCACACTCAGATCGATTATGTACACTGTCTTGTACCAGACCTCCTTCAGATCAATAACAACCCATGTTACTGGGGAGTTATGGATAAATATGCAGCTGAAGCTCTACTAGAAGGAAAACCAGAGGGTACCTTCCTACTTCGAGACTCCGCACAGGAGGACTATTTATTCTCTGTTAGTTTTAGACGCTATAGTCGTTCTCTTCATGCTAGAATTGAACAGTGGAATCACAACTTTAGCTTTGATGCACATGATCCTTGTGTCTTCCATTCTCCTGATATTACTGGGCTCCTAGAGCATTATAAGGACCCTAGTGCCTGTATGTTCTTTGAACCACTTTTATCCACTCCTTTAATTCGAACTTTCCCTTTTTCACTGCAGCATATATGCAGAACAGTTATTTGTAACTGTACAACTTATGATGGCATTGATGCTCTTCCAATTCCTCCTTCTATGAAATTATATCTGAAGGAATATCATTACAAATCAAAAGTTAGAGTACTCAGAATTGATGCACCAGAACAACAGTGCTAATAAAGGAATAGAAATGTGGAAACAATTATATACATATTTTCATTTAATATTTTATTTTTCTTATTATACAACTTTGGATTTTTCTATAAAGGCAGTTTGAGTCCAAAACAAACATATGCCCTAAATTTTACATGCAGATCAGTTTATTTTTCTTATGATAACACTAATTGTTTAAGGTTATACACCAGAGGTTAATAGATATTTTTAATCAAGTATTTTGTTTTTGTTTTTACCATGTAGGTTATATACTTATATTTTTTCCTTTCTTTTATTTATCATCCAGGTACATTTTAATTGGGTAGGCATTGCACATGTATTTGAATATTCTGTATTTCATGCTTTTCTTTCAAAATACTCTTATACCCTTTTCTACATGTAAAATATTTTAATCTATGCTGTCAGTATTCCTATACATAAAATACAGTTTCCCTAAGCCCCCCCCTTTGTATTGAGTTGATTTTAAATTCTTCAGTAAAGTTGAGTGTTATAATTCATCATCCATACTTATGTAATTGACTTTTGTGAATTATTGATAGTGTTGTTAAAGATAACAAATGATTTAAAGTTAAACATGATGTGTTTTCATTTTAAATATTAACTATTTTAGCAGGATTACTGAATTTGGTTAATCTTATCCATGAGAATCAGATGAGAATATTCTGGGCACATTTATTCTACAGTGTGACATGGTCATTTGTTATTTCTCAATAAGCCTTTCTCTCAACCTGGAGGAGTTAATCTTCAAAACATGCATTTTTGTTTCATTCTCAATGGAAGCTTTAAAAATAATGACTTCACTATTAGTAGCCAGTAGTTACTGAAGTGCCGAAGTAACTGGTTTTTTCTGTATTAACTTATGAACTATTGTTTCTTCTCAGTCCTTTTGTAGAAATTCTGAGTCTATTACTTTGGAGAAATTCTATAGTTTATAAGTAGCCACAAATATCCACAATTAACCAAAGAGTACTTAAGTAGCTTTTTCATTATTTTAAGTTGAAGTTGAGTGACAATTCAAGAAATAAACCTTGTGTTCAGTGTTCAAGAAGCTTAATTCTGTTTTTGATCCTCAATTTGCAAGTTCTTATTCCCATCTTCAGAATTAACTTAGGTCTTCAGTATGGCTTCAGAAAAAAAAAATAAAGAGAAGAAGGCCTCTGGACAACTACATGACTTATGTCATACCGAATGGTATTGGGCAAAAGGTAATACTTTAAATTTATGATCCCAAGAATAGAAAAGCATTTTTGGAAACCTCGTTAGTCCAGTAATAAAGATAAATCAAGTGTTATCCTGTCTAACTCTTTGTTAAATGAATCAATGAATAATAAATCTAGACAGATTGCCTGATTTTCTTTCTGATGAATTGTCTACCTCTTGTACTAATTGGATTTTTTTTTTTGAGAGGTTTTTGATATAGGGCGCGTGCGCTCCCCAGATAGACAGAAAGCAAGAAATCACTCCCCTGGGTGGGATGGCCAGGCCACAGTTCCTTCTCCTACAGTCTCTTCTTGGGATCTTGAGCACGCACTTGTACGCGCCCAGCATGAGTTTAAGCCACCGGGTTGGGGAACTCATACTGGGGTCAACTACATGGAAGTCCAGCGACATAGTCATTATGCCAACTGCTGATCCCACTGATTGGCATTTTTTTAATTGATTTCTTGATGCTAAGGTTAGCAGTATCAGGAAACTGCTTCTACCTGGCTTGAAAGAAATTTGACTCATAAATTTTCAAGTTAGAACAAATGTTTGTTAATTACCATTGCTTTTGTATTGAAGTAGCAGTTTCCTCTTGCAGTTCTGATGTTAGCATAGAGATGGCATTTTTCAATAATAGGATTAAAGTGAATTTTTAGCAATTATGGCAAAGATAAGCCAGGCATGTCTCTGTTACCGTTATCTTTTAGCATTTTTTCCTCAGTGATCTCAAGATTGTTTTGGTCTCAGTGAGGGGAAGCTATTAAAATGGTACCTCTCTTAGCAGTGATGAGGCTCAGGATAACACCACCAATGTCAGGATAAATCTCTCTCCTAAAGATGATATTTATCCTTTACAAAGGTAGAAAAGTCATACTACCTCATCCTTATTTTGGCATTTTTGTAGATCACTGAGCAGCTTATCTTTTAACTAGTATAACACTTCCTATATTCATCTTTGGCGAAAGAAAATTAATAGTGTGGTAAGACTATACCCATGATTAGTTTTTTATCAGAATTTGATAAGACTTTTTGTTTCTGTGAAACAATTATTTTAAATATTTTTCTTTTAAAAATAACTTTTTATCAGTACAGAAAAACCTAAAGGATGACTAGCTTATGATATTCTGTTAAAGGGTAGTTTTATAGAGAAAACTGAAATATAATTATGTTGTCTTTTATAGTGGTAAAAATTAGTGTTTATATGAAAGTCAAGATCTAAGTAGTTTTTCATATAGTTCAAACTGATTGCTTGTGATATATTTTCTCTGGCTTTTTATTTTTTTTCAACTTCAAGATATTAACAACTATTAACATTTCAAAATACTGCCATATATTATCCTTGAAGTTGATGACTGAATAAATGAGGGCAGGGAAAAGATTATTTATTCTGAAATGATTTGTATTTTCTTTTGGTATATGCTACCATAAAAAGTTTGGGAAGTAGAAATATAAAGACTGAGAAGGGAATTGCTTACCATGAAAGAAAAAGTAATAATATATTTTTTTTAATATTAAAGGATTGGAATGTAGAAAGGCTTACCCCCTTTGTGTCTTTGTGTGGAACATCTGGTGTTCAGGAACTAGCTCATAAAGAATGTTTAAAAATGTATTTATTGGGCTATACAACTAAAAGTACATTTTGAGAGGAACAATGGGGAGATATATCTAAATATAAATGTAACTCTAGGTGGAACATTGGGAACATTTGAGAAGTGTAAATTCCATAGTTGAGAGAGCTTTCAGCATGGTGGAAATGTGTAGAGAGCTTATTGGTGAGAGAAGATGGAGCTAAAAGAAACAAGATAAAATATTAAAATTAAGAATTTAGGCATTACCTCAGGGAAAAGCCTTGACAGTGAAGGGGAACTACTTAATTGCTAATAGCTAGTCTGGACCAGACACTTAACTGTGCTTTGGGAATTATCCTGTGCTAATCAGGAAATAAACTTGACTTTTCTATTTATCTCTGTAGCTTTTCAGGACATACCCCTACTCTACACACACCCCCACCCCTTTTAACTTCCAGCATCTCGATTTTATAGTATGCTATATAATTCCTAAAATAATGCTAAATTGATTTTTTTAGGTTCCTTGAACATTTTTGTATGAAGAGTCATATGTGATCTTTCTATGCTGTGCCATTCACTTAAATAATTTATAGAGGGAATGGTTTAATTTAAAGGAAGACCTAACAGGAAGATTAAAGGAAGCTTTTAGACAGCCTGTGGCAAGATTTATTGATTTGGTGATCAAACCTCTGTTCTTTCCTGAAATTCATCTAATGGCACTGTGGTCAAAGAATGGTTTTCAATTAAAGTTTCAACTTATTATAAATAATATAAGGAATGTCTGAGTAATTAGAAATCCTTTGAAAAGCAGAACAAATGTGGTCAATAGAATTCATACCATACAAATCCCATTTCTTTTTATAAGAAAAACTCATAAACCTTTATCATTTATTCATGAGCCAAATCCATTAAAATGATAAATCAAGTTATCAGCTTCCTGTCTCTGAAGTTTGGATCATTTTATAGATCCAAGTAATAGAGAGCTTCCTTCCTGTGAAGGAAAAACCTTGAGATTAACACCTGTAAATGTACTCTTAATTAAAAATATTTCTTGTCACTTTTAACTATAATCACCACCTAATAAACAGGTTATTTATATATTGATTTTGGTAGAGCACATTTCACAGGAAAGTAAACTTACAAGATATTCCTGGAGACAACACAAGAAAAATAGTGGTTAGATATAAAATAGCCTGTGTAATGTTAGTTAATTTAATCCTCAAATGAATAAATATTTTAAGTCAAGCAAATTACTGTTTCTACTTTGGGAAATAAGCTTTATAATTTTTATTTTAACATAGTTTCTATTCCTAAGAACAGAAAGCACAAAGGTTTTTTTTTTCTTTTATTAATGGCCTTCTAGAAATAAGCAATGGTATAAGAATTTGTCAGTATTACTCTAATATATTAAGATATTGGACACAAAATAGAAGTAACTTTTAAAATTGGCTTATAAGTAGAAATGTAGACTGGGGGGTGTAACCCAATGGAAAGAGATTTAGAGTACATTGATCCTATTTCAAATAAAGCTAACGTTTTTTTATTTCTAATTTTGAATAGGTCAATCCTAAATCTTCTTTGCCTTCATTTCCTATAAAACGTAGGTAATAATAATTGTAACTTTACTTCCTAAAGGTTAGTCTTTTAGTAAGATGTGACCGACCCTTGGAACATACTTGAAAATAATTGCTGTACAACCATTAAATGCTTATATGTTGACAGGTTTTCAGAATATCCCTTTAGTGTGGACTCTGCCCAGTCACATTCACTTTTAGTCTGTAATAGGCTTTCTTGGCTTGATTTGACAGTAGAGGTAATAGTACAGTTTGAATTTATGGTTTAGACTGCAATTAGATGAACAATTACAATTTTCTACTCATAAGGTCTGTAAAACTGTTGTTTCTCTACCGTATTTTAAAAGTTGATTACATGTACAGGAAATAAAGATAATCACTTTTGCCATGGTTATAGTCAAATCTAAACTTGCGAACTTGAGAACCATGGTGTAAAAACTCAAGGTTTATTCAAATTATGCTGACTTTGCTGGAATTAGATAAAGTCTGTGTAAGCCAAGTATGAATTTGATATATATACTTGAATATACAGTTTTAAGAGTAACTTCACAAAGCTATTACTCTTGCCATTCAGACTTGTATGATCCACCACCTTTATCCAAAAAGTACTCTTTCCAACTTTTATTTCTAATCTTAAAGTTGACTGTTTCTTCTATGTGAGTTCAGATTTATCTAAATACATTTTTATTTCTTTTTAAATAAAACTTTGTATGTAAAATCCTAAGGCTTTGTGTTTTGTGTTAAAACATAACTTTCCTCACAATTAGAATCTGAAAAAGAGAAATTGAGCAATCTGTATTCTTACACATTTTCCAGTTTATAATACACTCCTTTCAAATGCTAATAGCTAGTCTGGACTAGACACTTAACTGCATTTAACTCCTTTTGGGATCATACTGTTCTCTAGAACCAGATGGCAAAGTGCAGTTAGATCTCCAAAAGATTTATTTGGGAGACCCCACAGGTGGTGTGATTAAGAGCTCTGGACTCCCACATGGCTGACTGCAGTTCCAGTCCTGGACCTGGTGTCTTGCTTTCTTAACTTCCTCTCTCTCTCTCTCTTTCTCTCTCTCTCTGTCCCTCTCTGCTCAAATAGAAAGACAGGGAAGGAAAGAAAGATAGTTAAATAATTCTTTAAAAAAAGATTTGGAGTGAAACACCAGTGAAGGACAAAGAGAAGGTAGGGAGATCATACCACCTTGTAGGTCTGACACCTGAGGAAGTGTGGACCGAAAGATTGGGTTGGGTGGGCTTTAGACTGCAGTGCAGTTGTGAAAACACACTCCATGGGGAAGAAGTTGTCTAAAGTTCCTTATAGATAACTACATATGGGCCTGGCTCCAGAACTCTGCCAAATTTAAGTACTGGCCACTTGCAGGCAAGAAGAAGCTTGAGGCTCTCCACTCAAGCTAGGCCAAGAGTAGGGTGAGGTGAATAAGGCACTGACTTGTGTGCTACATTTTTTGACCGAAAAACTCAGTAAAGATAATAGATTAATGAAATGTTTTAAAATCAGAATTGATGTAAAAAAAAAAAAAAAAGAGCAAAATAGAGACTTGATTGTATTACTACTGAGTTTTCCTGTTGGTTCATATTGCACACTCTCCTATGAAGACAGGTTTTCCAGACGTTTAATTTTCCAAAGACCTGTGCATTAACAAATATGTTTTTCCTGGGCATAAGTATTTGAAGTTACTCTATTGCTCCCTTTTCAGTATAAGAATTATGTATACAGTAGAGCATACCCAGGGATGTCTTCCTTTAAGAAAATCAAATGTCCACCCACTGACCCATTAATGGCTTGCACAAAGACGCAAAATTTGTGTACTTATATTTTTATATATTAAAAATAATACATATTTATGTGTGTTTCACACACATTATTACTATTACATTTTTATCGGGTTCCCTAGATGCGGGGACCAAGTGTCAATCATCTAGGCCTGACACAGGAGGTACTTAATGTTCATTCAAAATTAAGCACTTGGGGAGGAGAAAGATCAGAAAAAGTCTGCAACTATTTCTTGAGCAGTTACCAATCTATCACGCCATTTGCAAACGTCTTCTCTTTCCTGCACTGATGCTCTCCCCAATTTTGTCTCGAAGGTCTGTGTACCCAGGTCGGGCCGCAATTTGATCGCATCCACAGCCTGCCTGCTTCGAGGCAAGGCTGTAAAAACCGCTAAGAGTAAGGGGTCCAAAATCTGTCCTCCAGCCACTCGAGCACACAAATTAGCAATTGCTGCCGGCCTTCCCTTTGCATAACCAGCCACAGGAGCTTCTTAGGCGTCCTTAAAACTCCGGTAACTGGGGAGCTCTCCGCCAGCCCACCAAGAGAAAATAGCCCCCGGAACTCAGCGCGGAGATGCCCGACGCCGGGCTGGCGAGCCGCAATACCCCCAGGGGCCTGCAGGGGGCGCGCGCGCGGCAGGCCCGACGGGAGGGCGAGGGCGGGCAAGGGGCGGCGCGCTCCGCGCTTCCTGTTCCGGCGCCAGGAGGAGCCGCGCGCTCTGGTGCTGTCGTCGTCGCCGTCAGTCAGCCTGCGCCCGGCTCTTCAGCGCCCAGTTCCCTCGGCCCCATCGCCGCTTGTAGAACCTGCTGTGGGCTCAGATTTTGCTGGGTGAGGCCGCCTGGCGCCAGTGGAGGTCGTGGAGGGGGGCGGGAGAGCTGAGTTTGCGGGGCTGGCGAGCGCGGGAGAGCGGGAGGGGGCGCGGCAACGGAGGTGCCTCGAGTCATCCCCAGGGCTTGGGCCGTGCTGGCCTCCTTTGGGACCCCGAGCAAGCGATCGTCTGGGTCTCCTTCCTCCTCGCCCCCGGGTCTCCCCTAGAGAGAGGACGTCGAAGGCCGCTGACGTAGCGCCCGACGGGTTTCTCGGCGCTTGACGTCAGGCCTGCCTGGGGGGGCGGGGCGGGAGCGGGCCTGCCCCTCCCCCATCCTTCCCGGCGGGCGCGACCCGCTCCGAGGCCGGTTCGCTCCGGCTGATCCCGGACTCCCTTTGTTCGTACGTCCCTGAAGGGCTGCGAGCCTCGTGCCCCTTGTCCCCAACACGTCCACCGCCGCCTCCCATTTGTTAATTTCTAATGAAAAGGGACGGAGGGCCCTAGTAGATTCGGACAAAAATCTCCGCCTGGTTATTTAAGATAATCCGCAGTGTGGCATCGTCCTGGTTATTCTTGGCCAGGGGAGTTGCCCGTGGGTACATAGCGGTGACAGAAACTCAGAAGCGCCAGCGTCTGTATTTCTCTAGGGTTTAGGAACGTGCATAATGCGCGGTGGCTTATAAATAGCGAACTGTTTTCCTCTGTACCACCAACACGCTCGGCCCAATTAAAAAGATATATAGCTAGAGAAATACACACTCTACACCAGGTGGTTGTAAAGTTCTGTTTTGAAAACGAACTCTGTTATGGTGAAGGTAGCCATCAGAAATGTTTCAGAAATTCCTTGTTCTTTTGGCAAGAATAGATTTATTGCTGCCAGCGTCTCAGCCTCCTGTGCAAAGCTAGTTTGCCTCAGAAACTTTTGCGTTGAGTCACTAATGTTGGAATGTTTTTGCTCCAGGAGAAATGGGTACTATACTCGTCTCCATTCTCTCAACTTTTGGAACTAGTTGAGAAATCTTTGGGTTTTATATTTGTATTTTAGAAAGATTGTAAGTTACCTAGACAGATAACACCCCCTAGCGGAGTTAAAGGACCCTTTAATTAAACATTAATATTTGTGCAGCAAATATTAAGTTTCTATTAAGTGGAAATTAATGGAAACTATATGTAGCTTTAGGTCAAATTTTGCTATCCAGTAAATTGTGCCAGTCGTACAGATGTTTCATTTTCAAAGTTTCTGATGGAGAACATCAGATAAAAGGTTTGTGAACTTCTAACAGCAATTGTAAGAGCTAAAATTTGTTGTTTTGGGTAAATGCCAGGCAGTAACTTAAGGTTTCTTCACCTGTCTCACCACAGATCTGTGTGATGGAGACTATTTTATCTTCCTATACCTCTGAGGTTGGAGAATAGCACTTGTCCAAAGTTAAACAGGGAAGAGCTGGTGTTTCCTCTAGACAGTTACTTTGTGTGTGTGTGTGTGTGTGTGTGTGTGTGTGTGTGTGTGTGCGCGCGCGCGCGCGCGCGCGCACGTGCCATCAGGTGAGTGGACTGGCCAGAGAGATGGAAAGTGAGAAATCATCCACTAGGGGTATGGCCACACTGCAGTCTCTCCTCCATTCTCCCCAGTTTTAGGAACATCTGCGCATGTGCCCAGCATGACTTTCAACCTGCCAGGAGAAGGGACTCAAACCATGGGCGACCATGTGGGAGTCTAGTACCTCAACTACCATGCTCCTAATACCTCCTTTTTTTTTTTTTTTTTCTTGAAAAAAAAAAAACAAAAACATTTAATTCCATTTGTTATTATTGTTTAATTTGACCAGAGAGAAGGGGAAAGGGAGAAAGCAAACTACCAAGTCAGGGACTTGAACTGCCATTGGCCATGTTGGAATCCAGCACCTTTAATCATCATGCCATCTGCCAACCCTCCTAATACCCCAATTTCTTAAGTTGTCCATATACAGGAAAGGAAAGAAAAGCTGATAAATGGGCCACTACAAACCAGCATATAATCTAATTTCAAAATCTGTGTTTTCAGTGCAGATATGCCATTATCCCTTGCCCCAGTACTGAAATCTATTATACATAAAAAGTCTTATTTTCCCTTAGTTTTGTTTTTTTTGTTTTGCTTTGCCAGAGGGTCTGTCTACTTGCCAGAGAGACAGAGGGGGAGCAAGTACCCTGCAAGGGGACATGGTCATGATGTAATTCTTCAATTTCTCTATTCTGATGGGATTTCAGGTATGCACATATGTGCTTGCATGCTTTTCAAAGCCTCCAGGGCTGGTATTCAAATCGCCCTGTCAGCCAGGTGGATTCTTACTTCCATAACCACTAGGCAGCTGAGCCAGTCCTCTTAATAAATATCTTAGCACATATAAGGCATTTTATAGATTATAGAGTGTGTTATTTTTAATTATTTGTGAGGTAGCCAGGAATTATAACTGTTTTACAGATGGGAGAGTGATCTCTTGTTAAGCTTGTCCTTGTCAAAAGATTCAGTCAAAAGGACTGATGTACAGGTTTTACAGCCATGTAGTCCCATTCTATTACTCCATCTTAATTTGTTGGCTCCCCAAAGTATAGAATTCCTTGTCAGTAGCCACTAATAATTATGGGGCTGGAAACA